ACTACATACATCTGGCTAGCTTGATTTGTTGTAAGATTTTCATGAAAGTGACTACATACATCTGACTAGGTTGATTTGTCGTAAGATTTTCATGAAAGTGACTACATACATCTGGCTAGCTTGATTTGTCGTAAGATTTTCATGAAAGTGACTACATACATCTGGCTAGCTTGATTTGTTGTCACTTTCATGAAAATCTTACGGACAAATCAAGCTAGCCAGATGTACGTAGTCACTTTCGTGAAAATCTTACGACAAATCAAGCTAGCCAGATGTATGTAGTAAGATTTTCACGAAAGTGACTACGTACATCTGGCTAGCTTGATTTGTCGTAAGATTTTCACGAAAGTGACTACATACATCTGGCTAGCTTGATTTGTCGTAAGATTTTCATGAAAGTGACTACATACATCTGGCTAGCTTGATTTGCCGTAAGATTTTCATGAAAGTGACTACATACATCTGGCTAGCTTGATTTGCCGTAAGATTTTCATGAAAGTGACTACGTACATCTGGCTAGCTTGATTTGCGTAAGATTTTCATGAAAGTGACTACATACATCTGGCTAGCTTTGGCAAGCTTTTCCAAACTTCTCTCATTCTAAATAATGGCTAATTTTCTCTGCTCTATAATATTTTCTATATATTTTTTTTTTCATTGTGTAGTAAATGTTTAACAATTGAGTTTACTACGACATTTCTTTCATTGTGTGTTTAGGTGAGTGTGTGTGGGTCAGATTCAGAGTTGCACAATGTTTTTACAAACTTTCAGAAAGGGAAAGATTACATTCTGTAGAATTTAAATTGTGAACCATTTTTGGTATCAAAACAGAAATGATTAATATGGTTTCGTTTCCATTTAATTTTGTCAACTTAAACCTTGAATTATTTGTTTTTTAGGGTACTAATATTGCATCAGGAAAAGCTCGTGGAATTGTAATTGGAACTGCTTTAGACACTGCCATTGGTAAGTTTTTGTTTTGGTTTGTGCAGCATCTTTTTATTCTACTGATGCATCTGAACCTTAATATAATGATGGATGAGACCTGGGTGCTAGAATATATATATATAGGCCAAAACAATCCCAATCTAGCCACTAGCTTCTTAGTGACTTATTTGGTTCTGTGCTCTGAATATCTTCAGTCCCTAAAAGTAAGCCTTCAACATGGTTCTAGCATGGCCTCATAGTTAAGAGTTCTTGGATCAGAGGATTTGTGGTTTGCAAACATTATCACATAAATGGGTTCCAATTATTGGGGCCTTGGGTGTATTATAAGTGTGATGATCAAATCCCACTATTTCATTACAAGAGTTAGCAGTGCATGCTATTCACTAGTTGCTTTCCATCTAGTCTGTCCACTTATGATTAGAGATGGCTAATGTACATAGTTTATATATATATATATATATATGTTTACAGGGAAATCATATTGAAAAAATACTCCAGCATTCCGAAACCTGAAATATAAAATTAATACTGCTTGTTGTCTTTGTTTTATACCCAAATCCACTTTCTATTTTAATATTGTTAAAAATCAAAGGCAATTTAATTGTGGATTTATATTCTTAGTCCTTCTGTAATAATTAATGTTTTAAGAATGTCATTTTGTGAAGTTCTAACATGTAACTACAACAAGCTTAGAGTTCTTTACAGCTTACGTAATCTGCTTCAACCCTGATATGACATAACATCACCCACTAGAAAAGGAGTCGCGTACTTGTTTAAACTGTAATATCATGTAACATTGAAAGAGGAGTTTGTACTGTTTAAACTGTAATATGATGTAACATTGAAAGAGGAGTTACATACTGGTTTAAACTGTAATATGATGTAACACTGAAAGAGGAGTCGCATACTGGTTTAAACTGTAATATGATGTAACATTGTCCACTGAAAGAGGAGTCACATACTGGTTTAAACTGTAATATGATGTAACATTGAAAGAGGAGTTACATACTGGTTTAAACTGTAATATGATGTAACATTGAAAGAGGAGTCACATACTGGTTTAAACTGTAATATGATGTAACATTGAAAGAGGAGTCGCATACTGATTTAAACTGTAATATGATGTAACATTGTCCACTGAAAGAGGAGTCGCATACTGATTTAAACTGTAATATGATGTAACATTGTCCACTGAAAGAGGAGTCGCATACTGGTTTAAACTGTAATATGATGTAACATTGAAAGAGGAGTCGCATACTGGTTTAAACTGTAATATGATGTAACATTGAAAGAGGAGTCACATACTGGTTTAAACTGTAATATGATGTAACACTGAAAGAGGAGTCACATACTGGTTTAAACTGTAATATGATGTAACACTGAAAGAGGAGTCACATACTGGTTTAAACTGTAATATGATGTAATTTATGTTTGTTAATGTATAAAAATTGCAGAGTTATCATATATATACAAGATGATTATTGAGCACAATAAATAAATAGACACACATAAAAACCAGTAAATCAAATAATGAAGTTGTAGACGTATGAAATATGCTTTTGACTACATTTTCAGGTAAGATTCGAACAGAAATGTCCGAGACAGAAGAGGTTAAAACACCTTTACAGCAGAAGCTGGACGAGTTTGGCGAACAGTTATCCAAAGTGATCTCGGTAATCTGTGTAGCTGTATGGGCAATTAATATTGGTCATTTCAATGACCCAGCCCACGGTGGGTCCTGGATTAAAGTGAGTTTTCATTGGGTTTCTTCAAATGTATATCACAGTGCAAATGAAAAATAATAATTTGATAAATCTTAGCGTAAATAACACGTAAATGCAATTATAATGTAAAAAAAATATATCTGAACACAGCAGAAAATGTAAGTGAAAGGATTATTTAGTCAAGTTTTCACGTAGGCAATCCTCAGTGAAAGGATTATTTAGTTAAGTTTTCATCTAGGCAATCCTCAGTGAAAGGATTATTTAGTCAAGTTTTCATCTAAGGATTGCCTACGTGAAAACTTGACTAAATAATCCTTTCACTAAGGAATTGCCTACGTGAAAACTTGACTAAATAATCATTTCACTAAGGATTGCCTACGTGAAAACTTTAATCCTTTCACTAAGGATTGCCTACGTGAAAACTTGACTAAATAATCCTTTCATTAAGAATTGCCTACGTGAAAACTTGACTAAATAATCATTTCACTAAGGATTGCCTACGTGAAAACTTTAATCCTTTCACTAAGGATTGCCTACGTGAAAACTTGACTAAATAATCCTTTCACTAAGGATTGCCTAGATGAAAACTTGACTAAATAATCCTTTCACTAAGGATTGCCTAGTGAAAGGATTATTTAGTCAAGTTTTCATGTAGGCAATCCTTGTTGAGATTAACAGAAACAATGGCTGCATATTTCATCAGTTGTATAAAAAGTTTTTCGTCTGCTAATCAGTTTATTAGTATTGTAATTTTTTGCTGAAATGTGATCTGAATATTGTGTCAGTAAAACATTTAGGCTTATCATTATTAAATCTTCATCTTTTTCTATCTCGACACAACAGTTTTTATGTTTTATGAAAATAGAAATGCACCAGTACTTTTTATTACATGTTTACTTATTTTCACTCTAGGGGGCCATTTACTACTTCAAGATTGCTGTTGCTCTAGCCGTAGCTGCTATTCCAGAAGGTCTGCCTGCTGTTATCACAACATGTCTAGCCTTAGGTAAGTTGTTTTTAAAGTCTGAAGAATACTAGTGAAAGATAAGATATCCAAAATCAGAAGACTAAGCTAAAGTCTGATGATCCTGAAACATCGAAAAAAACGATATAACTCCGTTTTTTTTCTATAAATACCAACAAACTTCAATTTAACATTAATTTATATCTGTTTTTGTTGGGTTTTTTACCCTAGAAACAAAAAAAAATGCTAATTAAAAGCAAATAGATGTTCAATGGTTTTTAAAATGAATTCTCAAAGGTTTCATCCCTTCCTGGTGGCATAGCTGTAAGCTTGTTGCTTATAAAACTAAATTTGGGGTTCAGTCCCCACCACCACCAAAGGACGTAGCACCGATAGCCCATCCTTTAGCTTTGTGCTTTACAATAATTAAGTTGATAAACAGAAGTATAAATTGTCTTTCAGTCTTCAAAGTCTTGTAGTTTGCTCTGTTATCTTCTAATGACATATGTCTACGGAGAAAAAAAAATGTTACTGTGTTATGAACTAAACAAACACTGAATTAACTGTTATATAAATACTTTGTGATTTCTTTAAACTCTCTGTATAAAAAATAGGACACATTACACAAGCTATTTTACATTCTTAACATGATTTCCATGAAAGGTGAATTGTTTTAACATATCTTTAATTAATAGTGTACGTTTTTAGTTAGCCCCCTTTCATGGAAATCATGTTGGTTAACAATATGTTAAAACAATGGTCTTTAATTAATAGTGTAAATTTTTAGTTTGCATTGTTAACCAACATAATTTTCTTGAAAGGGGCATTGTTTTAACATATCTTTAATTAACAGTGTACGTTTTTAATTAACTTGTGTTTTTGTGTGTTTCTTGGTTTGTTAACAGTATATGTAATAAAAACTTTCAAAAACAGTGCTGAAAATAAAACCCACCATAAAGGTATAGGTATATCATCATTCAAATGTAATATTAAAGGCTTTAAGAAAATAGTCCACTGGAGATATTGGAACAAACCCTTTTTGTGAAGGATAGTCAAAACAATCTTTATATAAAACAAAGAATCATTCCTTTTCATTTTTAATTGTTTAACTCTAGAATTGTCTACCTTATTGGATTTTAACGCATTTTTTTACACTACTCTTAACACAATTACTTGTGGGTCCAGGAGTGTTGATTACAGGGTCCCTTGTAATACGTTTATTACACAGAAACAAACGTAACATCAGTGTTGTAATTCCATTAATCACTTGGGTTCCTTACGTATTTTTATGTAAGTTATAAAATAAGTGATTTCACCCAATTTCTTAGGTTATGTCTTTACACTGAGTGTTCTAATGAACAAAAACCACAAAATTATGTAATGTAAAGCGAATCATACCGATAGCAAATGGTATTAAAAAAAGCAAGTTGGTAATTTGAGGTTTAACAATAGACTCACTTCTTTCTTGTGCAAAATAAATGACATTGGGTTGTTGATGCTCTTCGTTTGGAGATTTACAAATGTTTTTAAATATTTCCACTTAAAGGAACAAGAAGGATGGCCAAAAAGAACGCGATAGTGAGATCACTGCCCTCTGTGGAGACTTTAGGTTGCACCTCGGTCATCTGTTCTGATAAAACTGGGACACTGACCACGAACCAGATGTCAGTTTCTAGGGTACGTATCTCCGAAGACTTGCTCGTATTATTGGATAAGATACATTAAGATGATGCTGCGTATGATAGTTCTGAATTAACCCTTTCAAGCCTGGAAAAAGAATACTGTAATTTCTCATAGCATTTATAAAAATTTGTAATCCATAAACATAGTATCTTAAACACAGATACTTCAAACCTAAAGCATGGTAAACATTGAAAGTTTTTGATTGTAAATTGACTGTCTTTAAATAAGTTAAGCCAGAAATAAACAATAGATTTGCAGCAATTTTTTGTGACAAGCTTCAGCTACACAGTAAGAAAGTTTACATATTTCTACTCCCCGATAAAGAAGTTTACATATGTCTACTCTCCCCGATAATGAAGTTTACGTATTTCTACTCCCCCCAATAAGGAAGTTTACATATTTCTACTCCCCCCGATAAAGAAGTTTACATATGTCTACTCTCCCCGATAAAGAAGTTTACATATGTCTACTCCCCCCAATAAGGAAGTTTACATATGTCTACTCCCCCCAATAAGGAAGTTTACATATGTCTACTCCCCCCGATAAGGAAGTTTACATATTTCTACTCCCCCCAATAAAGAAGTTTACATATTTCTACTCCCCCGATAACAAAGTTTAAATATTCCTACTCCCCCAAATAAAAAAATTCAGCTGGGAAGAGAGGGGAAGGGGCCAAACACCAAAAATAGGGTTAGCAGTTTCAATTTGTTTTTACTTTATCTTAAACAAATTTAATTACAATTTATATCAAACATAATTATAAATCTGTATATTTGATTTATAATTTTAATTTGAATACTGAATGTTGAAAAACGTGAGATACCGAGCTGCAAGGGGTCAAACTTTAAATTAGATACTGACCTGCAAGAGGTCAAACTTTAGATTAGATAATGTTCTTAAGCACATCAAGTTTTGCATGCTCATTTACTTTACAAATTTCCAAGTCCCTTGGTGGGACAATGATAAGTCTTCAAATTTTCAACATTAAAATCCAGTGTTCATTTCCCCATGGTGAACACAACAGATAGCCCATTGTGGTTTTACTCTTAAAGCAAAATAACATAACAGTTATAGTTATGTTAACAATTTCTTACCCTTCCTAAAATAGTTTTTCATCATGGATCACGTAGAAGACAAGAATGTTGCTTTACATGAATTTGAAGTAACCGGATCAACCTACGAGCCTATTGGAGAAGTGTAAGGTTTTATGTATTACCTAAATAATTACCTAAACTGCTTTAATAAGTTAAATAAACTTCATACATTTTTTTGTGATAGAGATGCGTTTAATATGGAGTAACATGTAATGAATTGTGATCAAAATATTATATTTTATAGAATTAAAACATTGTAGTAATCTGTAACTATACTTTCTTTGAGGACTTGTTGTTTCAGTAACTTCCATATAATACATAAATGTAGTAGGATTTTTTTTTACTTTGATTAATGTATGATAGGTTAGTTTTTGAGTTTTTGTTGTGTGACTGATCTCTATTTGATAGTTCAGTTTAACTGGATTTTATGTACTTTAACGGATTTACATGTGATAGGTCAATTTTATTAACTTTTTCCACATTTTGACTTGTAACCACCGGGTAACCATGAAAGTAGCCACACTGTAACTTTTTTAATATGGTATGTGTACCTTCACAAAATTAATTAAGTTTTTTTGCTAAAGATTTGTCAAGGTGATTTTGTCGTTAAGAATAAAAAATACTTTTATTTATCTTACAGTTTTTTTATATTTCATATGCATAACTTCTAAAACTTCCTAAATGAACATAACTTTTTTTTTCAGTAAAACTATATTTTATTGTGTATTCCAACTGATTACCTAGCGCAGACTGGTCATAGAGGCCGTTTATTATCAGTTATTTTTTCTAGAATTTTTTCAGTTCTTCTGGTAGAAGTTACTGTTTAATAAGTTTGTGTGCGTTTATTGTGTGTAGATGGTTTGTTGCAACTTTAATGTGAGCTTTTGGTTGTACCACAGCTTTAAAGATGGAAAAAAAGTCCAGTCCAGCGACTACGATGCTTTAAATGAACTTGCAACGATTTGCTCAATGTGCAATGATTCCAGTATAGACTTTAATGAGGTAAGAATATGTGGAATATAGTTCCGTAATAGGAGAGATATCTCTTTACGGAACTATATTCCACATATTCTTACCTCATTAAAGTCTATTACTAGAGGTTAGTAAACTGTAATAGTTTGTCTACACTTATAGGTGTGATACCGTGTGTAACAAAAACGTCGAAACTGTCCTAACAAGCTAGAACCCAACTAGTTATGATTAACCAGTTCTAATGGAGCAGTAAAAACATTGTATGTGTATTTCTGTGGTCTTTTGTGTAAGTTGTTTATGTAGTCAAACAGTTATTAACAGCAGATTTTCAAAAATATTAAGCAAATTGTATCCAGTCTTCATAAAGCTAGTTTGATATTACTTGGTCTGTAACTCTTTAAAAGCCCAATTAATCTATTAATATCACATTTGTCTGATGGACCAGTTAATCTATTAATACCACATTTGTCTGATGGACCAATTAATCTATTAATACCACATTTGTCTGATGGACCAATTAATCTATTAGTACCACATTTGTCTGATGGATCAATTAATCTATTAGTACCACATTTGTCTGATGGATCAATTAATCTATTAGTACCACATTTGTCTGATGGATCAATTAATCTATTAGTACCACAGTTGTCTGATGGATCAATTAATCTATTAGTACCACAGTTGTCTGATGGATCAATTAATCTATTAGTACCACAGTTGTCTGATGGATCAATTAATCTATTAGTACCACAGTTGTCTGATGGATCAATTAATCTATTAGTACCACATTTGTCTGATGGATCAATTACTCTATTAGTACCACATTTGTCTGAAGGATCAATTAATCTATTAGTACCACATTTGTCTGAAGGATCAATTAATCTATTAGTACCACATTTGTCTGATGGATCAATTAATCTATTAGTACCACATTTGTCTGATGGATCAATTAATATATTAGTACCACATTTGTCTGATGGACCAATTAATTATTAATACCACAGTTGTCTGATGAAACAATTAATCTATTGGTACCACATTTGTCTGAAGGGCCAATTAATCTACTGACACCACATCTGTTAATCATAAACCCAAACCGTCTGATATGTGTTTTCAACAAAGGCTTTTATTTTATGTATAACCTCATTCTGTTGTTAGTCTATGTACTGGAAGTGTAAAATGAAATGTCTGAACAATGAAACTGAAAAAATATTTGTTGATTTCTTGATTTAGTGTCTGCATTGATTAAAAAAGGTTTGGGTTTTTAAGAATTGGGATTGGTAGATTTTAAAAATTATATTTTGGCCAATCAGATGTGCATTTGTTGTTTAGATTGCAGTTCACTATGGTTTATGTGATAACTAGCCTTGCCCAACCCTTCAAAAACATAACAGGTTGGAGTTTTATGAAAAAAAAAAGGCTTCAGTATAGTATTTAAATTACACAATAAAAAGGTCTAATGTTAGTTTGTGGAATAACATTATATGTGTATTTACTGACAGTATCTAGTATGGTAAAGCTTAGCTATAACTAAACTAAAGTGAAAAATGTACACAAGTTCCAGTGGTAATATGTCTCTATTGAATATAGGCCATACTTAATAAAGGCTTAACTGATGTTAGGCCTAAAACAAGTGAACTTAGATTTTGGAGTCTGCAATTAGAATTCTTTTGTATCATTTCAAAAATGAAGGTTCTGATGCATCAGCTTAATACTTGGCATTCATTTGCCACCTCATAAGTTAGTTAACTGGAAATATAATCGATCATGGTTTAGGCCTATGATCCTGTATCTAAAAAAGTAATGCTGCAATACAGATGCTAATTTCACTGCAAATGTTTTGTGGGAATTTGCTAGTTCTTGTTATTTTAATATTTCATTTTGTCTTTTTTTCAGTACAAACAAATGTTTGAAAAAGTGGGTGAAGCCACAGAAACAGCACTTATTGTTCTCTCAGAAAAGATCAACCCCTTCAACTTTGAAAAGTCAGGCCTAACAAGGAGAGATGCTGCTTTAGTTGTTAACCATGGTGTTCAAGCTATGTGGAGGAAAGAATTTACTCTAGAGTTCTCCCGTGATCGGAAGTCTATGAGCTCCTACTGTGTTCCCATCAAACCTGTTCGATTAGGAACTGGCCCTAAGATGTTTTGTAAGGTGGGGCAAAACATTTTGAATGTAAAGTTTGCAACTTATCTAAGCAAGGGTTTACCGTTGGTAGCATGAATCATGCAGCTTTGACAAGGTTAAATCTATTTTGTAGGTAGTTTAATATCGATAGTGCACAGAATTTTGTCAATTTCCAGTTTTTTTTCTATGCAAATACAAAGAATAGTAATAACAGCTGAGATGTAAATACATAGTTTATTGTTTAAATTTTGTACTTTAATATTATTCTTCTACGTTGAATACTTGAATATTTGGTAGTGTTAACATCAATGTTTATCTCTGAACACAAAAACGTTTTGTTATTAACTGTTATATAGAACAATGCACACATTTACTCGTACACGTTATACATCAAAGTGACATATCTATATGTACACACAAACATTGTAAAAACTTTTAACTTGGGTACATTCCAATGTTATGAAAAATAGTAGCATTGTGGTTTGGATATATCAGCATTGTGTGCACAATTATAGAAGTTTCCTTACTGAACTGTATTTGTAGGCATAAATCTAATTATTATTTGGTAAAAGATTTATAAATATTTCTATGCAAGAAATGTGTCAATAAGTATATGTTTATCTTAGTAATCAAATCAGTTTTTAAAGAAGGTCGTCTGAAAACTGATAAGGTTATGTAGGTCACACACACTTCTCCTTGGTACTCATGGTGGGCAGAGCATAGATAGTCCTTTGTGCTTAACTACAAAGAAACAAGCATCTAACTATTTATTTACTACACTTGTTTTTAAGGGGGCACCAGAAGGAGTGTTGGATAGGTGCACTCACGTGAGGATTGGAAGTAAGAAGATTCCCATGACCAACACTATTAAGAATAGGATTTTGGAAACCACTCGACATTATGGCACTGGAAGAGACACTCTACGCTGTCTTGCCTTGGCTACCATTGATGATCCAATGAAGCCCGAAGAAATGGACCTGGCAGATTCCACAAAGTTTCACTTATACGAGGTGTCGCACTGCTGAATTTTTTTCTCAATTACACTAATTATTGATTGCTGAATTAATTGAAGATTTGGAAAATTAATTATTGTACTTATCGTGCTCTATCTTGTACTCATTGTGCTCTTTCTTGTACTCATTGTGCTCTTTCTTGTACTCACCGTGCTCTTTCTTGAACTCATCGTGCTCTTTCTTGTACTCACCGTGCTCTTTCTTGAACTCGTCGTGCTCTTTCTTGACTCGTCGTGCTCTTTCTTGAACTCGTCGTGCTCTTTCTTGAACTCGTCGTGCTCTTTCTTGAACTCGTCGTGCTCTTTCTTGTACTCGTCGTGCTCTTTCTTGTACTCGTCGTGCTCTTTCTTGTACTCGTCGTGCTCTTTCTTGTACTCGTCGTGCTCTTTCTTGTACTCATCATATTAGAACTGTAATTGTTATGGTTTTGTAACATATACGTTATGCCTAACAGTCTGTATTGTTTGTAAGTACCATCTTTGACAAACTTGAACTAAAACCTTGATCTACCACTTGTTGGTTAACTAATGATCTAAAATAAGTGTGGATCATCTATTGTTGAACTTGTGAACTAAACCTATGTGTTAAGATAACCTGGGATTA